AGACAGGGTCTCCCTGTAGCCCCAGCTGTCCTGGAACTCACTATGTAGACTAGGCTGGCCTTGAACTCACAGAGATCCTTCTGCCTCTACCTCCTAAGTGCTGGGACTACAGGCGTGCGCCACCAAATCTGGCTTAAAAAGTCTTTAAAAAGACTTAAAAAGGCTGACCTAGGTTACATAGTAAGTGCCTGTCTCATCAAACAAACAAGGATGGGAGAGGTGGCTCAGCAGATAGGAGCAATGGCTGCTTTTGCAGAGGACCTGGGTTTGATTCCCAGCACCCACATGGATGCTAACAACTGTCCATAACCAGATCCAGGGGATCCAATGCCCTTTTCTGGCCTCCATGGGCATTGCATACATGTGGTGCATTTACATGCATGCAGGCAAAACACAAACACATGTAGAAATAAATAAATACCCTCTGCTCATTTAAACTGTGAGGCCTCCAAGGTCTCAAGTCAGCTGGTTTTCTTTTCTAACTATAATTAAAATACTTAAGCCAGGCATGGTGGTGCACGCCTTTACTCCTAGCACTCAGGAGGCAGAGGCAGGCAGATCTCTGTGAGACTGAGGCCAGCCTGGTCTACATAGTAAGTTTCAGGTCAGCTGGGGCTAAAGGAGACAATGTCTAAAATGATAAATAAGATTCAATCAGAGTCAGCAATGGACATTTCTCTCTGAAGTGCTTTTCTTTTCTCCTTATAGAGATGAAGGTACCAAGGCATTTTCTAGAAAACAATTTTCTGCAGATGAGAGAGAGGACTTGCTAATCATGACCTCCTTATGTGAGGAATGAAAGACAATGACCCCAGAATATTCTAGTTGTATGCCCCCAGCCTCCACTGGGTGCTGGAATTTTAAAGAGCTCCTAGAAGTTTCCAGCATTTTCATACTCCTGGGAAGAGCAAAGTCAGCTCTGGGAGCCATTTCAGGGATTAGGTCACTGTTAGCATCCCTGTACCCAGGTCAGACAGGCGGTGGAAGATCTGGCAATAGCTATGTTGGTAGACAAGGAAATGGCCACAAAAGGAGGGGTCAGGCTGGAGCCTCTCTTGATACAGCCACCCTCCTAGCTGTTTAACAGACAGACACACCCCTTACCTGGTGTCAACAGAAATCGGCTTCCAAGTCTCCTTGAGCTAGACTCGAAGAGTTCATTGTGACCTGCCTTCTGTTTCCTACCACCGATCTACTTCAAACTTAGGGAAATTTCAGTCTGAGGAGCCATATAGATACAGTAATCACTGTGTTCCATTCACAGAGAAGTTTAAAGACATGGAGACAGCTCAGGTAAAGTCCTGAGGAATGCATGGCCCCCTGCCCAGCTGTGTGATGGAACACAGAACTGCTGGCTGGCCCTTCCCACTCTGGAAGCAAGGCTTGTGCCTTCCTTAGCTGTCCCAGATACCCTGGGTGTGACAGTCCCAGAGCTTGGGGTCATGAAATAATGGCTTCCATATCACTCTACTGTGACAGGCACAGACCAAAGGACCTGCAAGTCCTTTGTTCCATTTGACTTTATTTTGTTTTGTTTGAGACAGGTCTCATTATGTAGCCCTAGCTAGCCTCAAACTATGTACACCAGGCTGGCCTCGAACTCAGAGATCTTCCTGCCTCTGCCTCCCAAGTGCTGGAATTAAAGTTATACACCACCAGAACCAGCCCTACTCCCTTTGACTTTAATGACTCATTAGCTCTGGCTTCTCTCTGGACCCCCAGACTCTTCTCTTGAGAAGGCAAGGGAAGGCTAGAGTATCTGAAGTCCTTACTTTCTTTCCCACAGCTCCAAGCCAAGCACTCACAGCTTATCTGAATTTAGCCATCATACACACCAAGCAAGCACATTAGCCATCTGGAGGGAGATGCCAGGCTGAGGTTTGGCCAAGTGGCACATAGCTAAAGAGTTAATGCTTAACTTGCAGCTTTGGGCCAGGGATTTGGCTCAGTGGGAGAGTGCTTGCCTAGCATGTGTGAGACTCTGGATTCCATCCCCAACATTAGAAAAAGAAACTAAAACATTAATTTGCAGCTCTGTGGATTAACAGACTTGAGACTAGGATGCCCCATCCAGCAATTTCTTCCCTTTCTTTGTTCCTGATGAAATCTGACCCTGTTTCCTTCTGGTTGGGGTGTGTGGCCTAAAACTGCTGTTGAATTTTTTTTTTTTTCTTTGCACCATCTGACAAGCTTTACCTTGTAGGTGTAAGACAGGAAAGCAAACACAAAATGTAAAAGGTGCTATTTCCAGCTGAACTTTTCCCAGGACTAAAGACATCTGCTTTCTCACCCTCTAGGGCTGGGAGAGACAAAGTTGTATATATAGGAAGGACAAACTGCTGGGTTGAAGCTAGTCACACTAGAATTGCAGAATTGCCAGAAGGGTCCCTGTTAAGTCTGACACCCCAGAGAGATCTGGCTGCCTTGCTTTCTCAAGCTAAAACAACTTGGGCATCAGAGGTGGCAGGACTCTGGCCACTCATTATCTTGTGTGCAAAGCCAGTCCAGAGTGGGTATAGCCAAAAGGCTTCTGTGTGCACAGAAGTCACAGCGAGAGACATACCTGAGCTGGAATAACATAGTCGGCCACATCCCAGATCCAGAATCCAAGTTTAGAAGTGTTGGTCACAGCCACACCTTTGGCCTTGGTTGTCACTGAGCTGACCACAGAATCGGTCTCCTGGTACCCCTTTTCCCACACAAACACCCACCTAAAAAACAACACAGGCCATAGAATTCAGTGAATCTGAACTGATATCAGGGAGCCTCTGATAGCCAGAGGATGAAAGAATGGCATTTACTAATTATGTGACTTCAAAAGCTATGTAACTTCTACTACACTCTACTTCTGCAAAATGGGCATAATGCCCCATTCATTATTTTATAATAAATAAATGAGATGACTCAGGCCACTTAGTGCATTGATCAGCATACAGGAAATGCTTGTTGAATGCTGTATTTATTACTGGATGTGTGAATACTCTCAATACATTATGATCTATGGGCATTACCAAGAAAGAATAAAATTACCATAACAAGAATTTCCATTTCATTTACATGTGATAATTCATTTAATCCTGACCACTTCATGGGGCAAGTAATTTACAGAGGTAGAATAAAGACACAGAGTAGTTCGTTCATTTGCTTGCTCAAGGTCATACAGCTAGCAAGTAGTAGAGTCAGGGTTAAACTCAAGCCAGAAGCCTCTGGGGCCTCTACCATTACACAAGAGAATCTCATCTTTTAGGCAACTTTTGTTTTTTGAGTCTTGCTATGTAGCCCTTGCAGGCCTGCTACTGCCTATGTAGCTCAGGCTCAAATTCATGGCAATCCTCCCACCTCAGACTCCCAAGAGCTGGGATTATTGGTGTGAGCCACTATATCCAGATGTCTATTATTATTGAGTGTGTGTAAGTTGGGCTCATGTGTGATGGTCAGAGGAAAACTTTTGGAAGTCAGTTCTTTCCACCATGGATTCTGGAGTTCAAACTCAGGTTGTATAGCAAGTTCTTTTAGCTGGCCCTGGTTTGGATTTTGAGACAGGGTTTTGCTATAGAGACCTGGCTAGCCTGATACTATGTAGCCCAGGCTGGCCTCAAGTCAAAAGTGATTCCCGTGCTAGGATTATAGGTATGCAACATCATGTCTTGCTCAGGGACTTTTTGTGTACATGTATCCTTGTGTGTGTAGATGTGTGTATGTGTGTGCAGGCCAAAGGTCAACTTTGCTTCAGAAGCTATCAGTTTTGCTTCTTGAGAAAGGATCTCTTACTGACTTGGGGCTCGCTGATTAGGCTGGCCAGGGAGCCTCAGAGATCCACCTGTCTCTGCCTCGCCAGTGCTGGGATTGCAAATGTGTGACACTGTACCTGGAATTTTTTATTTTTTTTTTTGTCTTTTTGAGACAGGGTTTCCCCTACAGCCCCAGCTGGCCTGGAACTCATTAAGTAGATTAGACTGGCCTTGAACTCACAGAGATCCGCCTGCCCCTGCCTCCTGAGTGCTGGGATTAAAGGTGTGCGCCACCACACTCAGCTTCCACACCTGTTTCTTTTACTTGGGTGCTCGGGATCGAAACTCAGATCCTCATGCTTGGGAGGCAAACACTCTACTGACTGAGCTTTCCTTCTGGTCCCCCTGGAAACTTTCTACAGTATTGTCTTACATTTTCCCAGGAATTCTAGCCAACTCTATGCTCTTCTCTTCTGAGGTGAGGATATTATTGCTATTCTGAGTAATTAAAAACCTAAAGGCAGCCAGGGGTGGTGGCACATGCCTTTAATCTCATCATTAGTGAGGCAGAGGCAGGCAGATCTCTGTGAGATGGAGGCCAGCCTGATCTACATAGCAAGTTCCAAGCCAAGCTGCACTGGAAGCTAGGTGAATTAATGTATACCAAATGCTTATTCTATGAACAGTACAGCAATCAGAACCCCTCCCCACCAGAGCTGTTACTAAATTTCTTTTTCTTTCTTTTTTTTTGGTCTCTTTGAGACAGGGTCTCCGAGTAGTCCCAGCTGGCCTTGAGCTCACAGAGATCCACCTGCCTCTACCTCCCAAGTGTTGGGACTACAGGTGTGTGCCACCATGCCTGGACCAAATTTCTTTTTTAAAAAAAAATTTATTATTTGTATTTATTTTTTAAAATGTGTATGTGTATTGCCTGCATGCAATGCCTGAGGAGGACAGAAGAGGCCATCGGATCCCTTGGAACTGGAGTTATGGACAGTTGTTAGCTGCCATGTGGGTGCTGGGATTTGAACCCGGGTCTTCTGCAAGAACAACCAGTGTTCTTAACTGCTGAGCCATCTCTCCAGCCCAGCTGTTATTAAATTTCTACAGGATATTGACCTGCTAATTATTTCTAGAGTTAAGAAATGCTAAGATCTACCTCATCTCTTATAAGCCTCAGATACTAAGACCAGAAATCCAGTGGTGTTTGGGTTCTTATTCATTGATTTGTTTGGTCTGACCCATCCCAATACCTTGCCCATTGTAAAAATGGGATCCTCTCCTGACAGGAGAGACTGACAGGGGAGTCTTCTCCTGCAGGGCTTCTAGGAATTCAGCTGCATTAAAGGTCCACGTAACCCATTCTGACACACAGAGCTCAGGGCAGGAAGGCCACTATTAGGGTTTTGTTGTTGTTTATTTTTATTTTATATGTTTTATTTTATTTTGAGTGTTTTGCCTGCATGTATGTAAGTGCACCAGTGTCATGAAATTGCCTGTGGAGGCCAGAAGAGGGCATCAGATCCCCTGGAACTCGAGTTAGGATGGCTGTGAGCCAACATGTGGGTGCTGGGAACTGACCTGAGTCTTCTGCAAGAGCAGCCAGGGCTCTTAACCAGTGAACTATCTCTCTAGCCCCAGCCATTAGTTTCACTGCCAAATACACTGACTTGTTACATCAGAGACAGTGTTATACCAGTCATTACCATGTGACTAACTATCTCCTTATTATATGGTGAACAGAAGTAGATAAGTGGGAATTTTGTAGTCAGTGTCTTTTTGAGGAAGAGTTGCATGCAGAAAGAAACCATACTTCCACCAAGATTAATTAAATCAGGAAGTTAACAAAGAAGTTAAAAGCCAGGGCATGAAATGTAATGCTGTAATCCCAGCACTTGGGAGGCTGAGGCTGGAAGATCTTTGCCAGCCTTGACTACATAGTGAGTTCAAGGTTACCCTAGGCAACATAGTGATGTCCTGTTTCAAAACAACAACAAAAGTTAAAAGAAAAAAGTCCTGAGTCAAGTTTGATCATATTAAAATGGATCAAAGCAAAGTATTATTGCTTTAAAAATGACCAAGACAGAATACTATATAAGGTGACGCTACAGAACTATGCTGTCCAATAGACTAGAGTACAGTAGGGGCATGGTGTAGTTCAGTGCTAAGAGCCCATGATCAGAAATATAATGTGAGCCATACATGCAGTTCCAAACTTTCTAGTAGCCATGTTTTTTTTTTAAAAAAAGACACAGGAAAAATTAGTGACTTTTTAATGTAGCCTAATATAGCCCAAATATTCTAACATCATCAATTTAAAAAGTATCAGACTGGGGGGCTGGAGAGATGGCTCAGTGGTTAAGAACACTGGCTACTCTCGTAGAGGACCTGGGTTTAGTTCCCAGCACCCACATGTCAGCTAACAACCATCCATAACTCCAGTTCCAGGGGATCCTATGCCTACTTCTGTCCTCTGTAGGCACTGCACAACACAGGTGGCACTTATATACATGCAGGCATAACACTCATACATATAAAAATAAATTAAAAAATATTTTTTAAAGTATCAGACTAGAAGCTGGGCATAGTGGTGCACATCTGTAATCCTAACACTTGAGGCAGAGGCAGGAGGATTAGGAACCCACTGCCATTATCCTTGGTTACATAGTGAGTAGGAGTCCAGTTTCGGTATGAGACCCTGTCTCAAAAAGGTTGGCAAGATGGCTCAGCAAGTAAAAATGATTGCTGTGTAAGCCCAAGGACATGAGTTTGAGTCCCAGAACCCACAGTGGAAGGAGAGAATCAATTCCTGAAAATTGTGCTCTGACCTCCACACATGTAGCATGGCATGTGTACACCCATATTCACATATATATAATTTTAATTCACATACATATATAAATTTAAACGTAACAGAAGTATTGGGTTGGAGGTGTAGATCAGTAGCAGAATGCTTGTCTAGTATGTGTAAGGCCTTGGGTTTGATTTTTGGTACCTCAGAAAAAAAAAGTACTGATGTGATATCTTTTTTTTTTTTTTTAACTATATCTGAAAAATCCAGTGTGTATTTCTCAGTTTTAGTGCATCTCAATTTAGAGTAGAAACAGCTAAAGCATTCAGTACCTACATATACCTAGTGGCCACCCGAAGGCACAACAAGCCAGAGATACTTTCCACAGTCCAGACTTGTACAGTATCCTAAGGAAAGTGAACAGATCATCCTAGGAAAACAAAAGTAAGAACTCAAAGCTATGTGAGAACTTCTGATTCCAGATGCTTCCAATCCAACCAGGCATGTGAGTTACTTAACCAGCCAGTAGCATATCTCAATACTGAAGCATCCAACACGATCACTGGTGGGGGTCAGGGGATAGTGTGGAAACTATTCACTCCTGAGACTTAATGATATGGGCCTGGATATGGACCAGGTGGGTCTGATGTTGAGTCCATGCCTGGATTTTGTTTGTTTTCAAGTACTGGAGTCTGAACCTAAAGTCTTATACATGCTAAATGCATACTTTACCTTACATTCCCAGCAAGACTTTTTTTGGAGACAGTGTCTCATGTAGTCCAGACTAGCTGTGAGTTAAAAATTCTGCCTCAGCCTCCTGAGTATTGAGATTACAGGCATATTAATTACTACCACAACCACTTCAGCAAGGTACCTACTGCTGCTGGGCTGACTTACACAGGAAGGAAAACATGTTGTCTTGTAAATTCCCTTAGGCAGTGTCAACAGATTCCAAACCCCACCCCAAGGTAGGGAATCAGTTACTTTTAAACAATTCATTGGATGAGTCTTTCCCAATCAGGTAGTTTACTAGAACTAGATCACAAAGGATCCTGGGAGCTGGTCACACCGCAAAGTTTATTAAACTATGGGTTGCAAATCCATATGTGGCCTGAATATGGGGTCCCCCCCAAAAAATGGCAAGAGTAAACGGTTTCTGAGCACAAAACAACCAAGAATTAATTCAGTGCTCACCTATATTGCATCACATGACTTCACTGCAGCCTTGGTTCTGAACATACAATGTACACACTGCACTGCACATGCCGTCACACCATACAATGCCAATGAACAGCTGCCTGAAACACGTTGGCTCAGATGTGGTGTGTGGTATATGCTGTTACAGTGCAAAAACACTGTACATATACAGGTTTTCTCTTATATAACCATAAAATTAAACAAAGACTTTAAATTTCTCCTATCATCATTCCTCAGCATGTAAGTATCAAATTATTATAACTTTGGATTCCATTGTGTTAGAATGTTTGGTTTTAAAAACTGCTACTTGCCGGGCATGGTGGTGCATGCCTTTGAACTCAGCACTCCAGAGGCAGTTTCAGGTTCAGTCAGAGACCCTGTCTCAAAAAATAAACTAGGGAGGAAAGAGTTCAATCTTGAACCTTTGTACCTGTACACATGCACCCATATATGCATGTACACACACAGCCCATATGCACAACACCACACATACCACCACCAAAAACATTGCTGTTTGAGTTGCTGACTTGAGTGCCATTAAGGGAGGCCCTGTCTCAAAAAGACCAAAAAAAAAAAAAAAAAAAAAATTGTTCTTGGCTGGAGGTTGTGGCACATGCCTTTAATCAGGAAGCTGAGGCAGGTGGATCTCTGTGAGTTCCAGGCCAGCTAGGGCTACATATTGAGACCTTGCCTCAAAAAACAAACCAAAAATGTTCTCTCCAATACCCCCCAAAGAATTTTGTTTTAAAATAATTTTCTTTGACTTATTATCAGTAGATGTTTGAGCTGTCTACCTATCTTATACACCTCTTACCCCAGTCACACAAAAATTTCTCTGGTGAATACAATCATGAATAGAAAAAAATTAAGAAAGGGGCTGGAAAACCCATTGTGGTGGCCCACATCTTTAATCCCACACTGGAGAGGCAGAGGCAGGTGGTCTCTATGAGATTGAGGTCAGCTTGTTTTACATAGTGAGTTTCAGGCTAGTTGAGGCTACAGCAAGACCCTGTCTTAAAAATAACAACAAAAAAAAGGGTGGGGTTGTAGAGATGGCAACAGTTAAGAGTACTTGCTTGTTCTTGTAGAGGACCTGGGTTCAATTCCTAGCACCTACATGGGGGGGGCACACAACTACCTGTAACCCCAGCTCCTGGGACATTTGACACCTCTGCCTGTGGGAACCTGCACTCACATGTGTACACACACACACACACACACACACACACACAAACACACACACACACAGGATTACAAATAAATCTCTAAAATTTTTTAAAAAGGTTTTTTAAAAAAGTCCTGATTTGGGGGCTGGAGAAATGATTCAGCAGTTAAGAGCATTGGCTGCTCCTGTCTAAACCCAGGTTCAGTTCCCAGCACCCAATATGGTGACTAACAACTGTTTGTAACTCCAGCTCCAGAGGATCCAACACCCTCTTCTAACATCATGCAAATAATACTCATACACAGAAAATAAAAAATAATAAAGAAAAGTGTATTTTTTAAAAAGCCCTGATTCATAACTCTATAGCAGATGAATCAGAGGGTCAGGTTGAGAGCTAGCATTTTCTAAAGAGTTGTCAATGTTCAAATGTGCATTTTGGGGGACCCCTGCTCTAGGCCTTCTAGAAAAACAACAAAGAGCTACACCTGCTATCCCAGCAGTTGTAGACACCAGAACACCCCAAAAGTAGGCAAGGTAACTCCCATCCCCTATCCTGGGTTGTACTAAATTCGAATTAGTGTACTCAATTAAAATTAAACCTTTAGTGAGGCCTAGGATAGCAGGTTCCAGACAAACAAGAGAGCAGGGGAAGGACGAGAGAAAGGTAGGTAACCATATCCCCAAACAATCACATGATACAAAGAAAGGGACCTTTGGCCACTTTTAGGAAGTGCGTCCTCTCCAATGTATTGGGTCATCACATGTTGCTAAAAGGAAAGGACTGGAAACTGCAGACTCAGTAAGAACCGTATGGAAATCACGAACAAGGTTCACGTAAAGATGCAAGAAAGGTGGGTTGAATGGTCCAGCTAAGCCTTTGCCCTTACATCGAAGCAGCCTCCTGTACCCGGTGCCCCCGCATAAAGGCTGAACCAAGGGGCTAGAGCCCCAGGAGGCAGCCCCAGTCGCCACCTCTGGACGGGGTGGACTGCGCCCGCGGGTTCGGCGGCTGACCCAGGCCGGGCCGGACTGCTTGTGCTGCCTGCGGCTGTTGCGGTTCCCCTCCCCTCGGACCCCTCACCCGATGACGTAAGCCAAGATGAGCAGCTGCACCATGCGGTTCATGAGCCCCACTTTACGGCTGCGGATGAGCACGATGCGCGGTGTGTCGTACTCGAACAGGAAGGATCCCAGCACTACGCAGCAGCCCGCCATGGCCGTGGACCTGGACGCCGCAGCCCGACCCCGCCCGAGCTCCGCCCAGCCGCCTGCTCGCGGCGACTCGCGAGGTCGCTGGGAGGGCCCGGAAGGGGGCGGCCCGTGGAGCGCGTGCCCTCCCCCTCGGCGCCGCCGAGACAAGGGCTTCGGAACCCGAGACTCCTTGAGGGGATGGAGTTTGCCGGGAAAGAATGACTTCCCCTTAGTGACCTTCATTCAGGGGCGGGGCTGGGGAGCCCTGACAGCTCCGAGAGTGATGGACGTGGGTGATGAGAAAAGTCCCTCCCTTTTGGAAGCGAGTTAACCCCTCAGGGAGGCACGGAGTGGGTACCCGGTAACGAGCAGCTCCCCTGGGTGGGTGGGGGGGGCGGTTAGTAAGAGTGACATTCATAGGGGACCTGAGGCCCGAGAGCGGCCACCCCGCAGGGTTGTTATGGCAGAGATGGAGAGAGCTGGGCTGGGCTGCTTTCTGGAACTAGGAGAGTTTTCCTGGGGGCTCTGGAGTGGCCACAGGCTCCATCAAATGTCCCTTTGGACCTGAAGTCAGGTCATGCACTTGCCTCAAGTCACGTGTTGTTTTAGTGGCACTGAGAGGAGGAAGCAGCCAGGACCAGGGAGGTGTTCCAGTATCCATCCTGTCACTGCGAAAGTCTGATCACAAGTTTAGGGAGAACATGCCTTCAATCCCAGCATTCGCGAGGCAGACGCAGGTGAATCTCTATCAGTTCAAGGTTAGCCTCTTCTACACATGGCGTTCTAGGTCAGGCTTATATACTGAGACCCGGTCTCAAAAAAATTTATAGAGAATTGGAAAATAAAAGGCAAGTGAGAAAGCACCATTGTTCAACGTACGTTCTTTCCCTTCGGCTGTGTTTTCATAGGTATTTTATATTTAGTTTTACCAATGCGTTCAACAAGTGTTAACACACACCTTACTTATGCCAGGTACTGCCCAGTGAACATAACAAACAGCATCGTAGCCTTCCTTTAAGCAGTATAAATTCTAGCAGGTAATTTATACAAGATTTAGTTTGTGGGGCTGGAGAGATGGCTCAGTGGTTAACAACTGTCGGTAACTCCAGTTCCAGAGGATCTGTTGCCCTCTTTTGACTTCGCGTTGTATAACATGGGTGCACTTACATACATGCAGGCAATGCAGTCATACACATAAAATAAAAATAATAAAACATTTTTTTAAAGGAGGAAAGATTTATCTGGCCTCAGAGTTTCAGAGGCTTCCATCATGGTATTTGGCTACACCGTATTGATCCCAAGATGAGGCAGGACATGGCAGAGAAGTGTAATGGAGTGGGCCTGCTCACCCCATGGCGGCTGGGAAGCAGAGTTAGGAAGGAGTGGGGACAAGGTATGTCTTTCCAGGACTACTTTCCAACGAATTACTTTCTCCAGTTAGGCTCCACCCCCTACTTTCTGCCACCTCTCAACGATATGATTGTCTGTTGGGATCAGAGCCCTCAGAATCCAGTTACCAGTCGATGACTGTATTCACTGGCTGGGGAACAAACCTTTCACACATAAAGGTTTCTGGAGACTTCATACACAAACCATAGCCTCGTGTTAGTGTTGACTCATCATCATGATCACTAAATTTTAATCTGTGGACCAGGTATGGTGATGCATGACTGTAATCCTAACACTCATTAAGCTGAGCTGGGGGGGGATGTCACAATTTGAAGTCAGCTTGGTCTACATAGTGAGTTCCAGGCCAGTCAGCACTACATAATAAGACCCTGTCTCAAAATAGCTAAATAAATAAATAAACTGAAACAATATGACATTTCCTTAATTCTTGATTGCTTTCCTGTGTATATATGTATTACTGGGAATTGGATCCTGGATTTCTCACCTGCAAGGCAAATGCTCTACCACTGAGGTACATCTTCAGCCCTGATTGTTTCTTATTTTGTGACACTTAAAAATAGTCTGTATGAGCCAGGCTTGGTGGTGCACGCCTTTAATCCCAGCACTAGGGAGGCAGAGGCAGGCGGATCTCTGTAAATTCAAGGCCATCCTGGTCTCCATAGTGAGTTCCAGGACAGCTGGGGCTACAGGGAGACCCTGTCTCAAAAAAGACCAAAAAAAAAGTAGTCTTTAATAAAATGTTATGGAAAAAATCAGAGGCCAACAGCGGAAGTCAGGTGAGGAGACACTAGCGGGCCTGACACCACGAATAAAGGAGTCAGACCTCGTGTTCAAGTTTTGGAGGCTTTTATACTTTTGTGGGGAAATGCAAACAAAAGGCAAACAGCACATAGGTGATAAGTAAAAAGTACCTGTGATAATTAAGCAAGGTAACATATGGCCACACAGGTTACAGGAATGAGAAAACTGGAAAACAAAGACTTCCAACCTGGGAAACCACAGCGGGCAGGATGGGAGACTCCTGCTTACCTCTCCCATACCTGTCTCTTAAGAGTTTTCCTGTTACAAAGTTCTTAATTACCATCACATTGCAAAAGCTTTCCACCTCCACAATAAGACATCTTAATTCTTTTCCTGACCGAGATTCCTATTTCAAATTTGTTTTTTCAAATAAAAAATGAGAATAAAATTGCAAGAACTCAGTAACATCTGCTTCTAGAGATGGAATTGTTAAATTAGAGGAAGGAACAGAGATGCCATTTGTTTTGCTTTACAAAATGGTCCCGGGAGAAGGTGGTGATTGTTTAGGTGGGATGGACTTACGTGATGGGTGTTTACTGAGTTCCTGCTATGTACTTGCTGTATTCTTCATGCTAGAGAGATGGAGGCAAGAGGCCAATAAGATCTCTGCCAAAATACAGGCTGTTGCAATTGGGAGGGCTTGAATTTCACATGGAAAAGGAAAGCCCAGTTTCTAAATGCTTCTTGCCTGGCATGGTGCCCCATGCCTTTAATACCAGCACTGGGGAGGCAGAGGCAGGCAGATCTCTGTGAGATCAAGGCCAGCCTGGTCTGAGGAAACTAGGCGCCACAAGCCCATTGTCAGCCAGAAGCCAGAACCAGCCTTATCTAAAAGCTCCACAAGCCCATTGTCAGCCAGAAGCCAGAACCAGCCTTATCTAAAAGCTCCACAAGCCCATTGTCAGCCAGAAGCCAGAACCAGCCTTATCTAAAAGCTCCACAAGCCCATTGTCAGCCAGAAGCCAGAACCAGCCTTATCTAAAAGCTCCACAAGCCCATTGTCAGCCAGAAGCCAGAACCAGCCTTATCTAAAAGCTCCACAAGCCCATTGTCAGCCAGAAGCCAGAACCAGCCTTATCTAAAAGCTCCACAAGCCCATTGTCAGCCAGAAGCCAGAACCAGCCTTATCTAAAAGCTGCAAAACAGGCAGGCACCGCTGGTCAAGCTTCAAGGATCAAGCTGTAAACAAATCTTACGGGCGGAAGGACCACCCTTAGGGCCCGATACCAGTAATCCCATTTCCCCTTAGCCCCGACCCTTACCCCATATCTCTGTGTGTTTTTGAAATTACTCTGTGTTTTTCCCCTCAGCCCCGACCCTTACCCCATATCTCTGTGTGTTTTCGATACCAGTAATCCCACTTCCCCTCAGCCCCGACCCTTACCCCATATCTCTGTGTGTTTTCGATACCAGTAATCCCACTTCCCCTCAGCCCCGACCCTTACCCCATATCTCTGTGTGTTTTCGATACCAGTAATCCCACTTCCCCTCAGCCCCGACCCTTACCCCATATCTCTGTGTGTCTTCGATACCAGTAATCCCATTTCCCTTTAGCCCCGACCCTTACCCCATATCTTTGTGTGTTTTTGAAATGACTCTGTGTTTTTGAATTAACGAATAACTGCTCTTCTGCTTCTGTACCCTGCTTCTGCTCTATAAAAACTGCCAAACCCCAACCTGGGGCGCGCAAGTCCTCCGAGGAGACTCTGTGCCCACAGGTACCTGTGCATCAAATAAACCTCTTGCTGTTGCAACCCGAAAGGCTGACTTGTCCTCAGTGGTTTCAC